CTCAAGAGACATCTGTGCCTCAGAAAAGCTTTTTGAGCGATCTCCCAGTTACAGAGAGTGAATCCAGATTATGCAGAAAGAAAGAGGAGGAGGGGAGGTAGCCGCAAGTAAGTCTTTTTTTAGGGAGGACAGGCCTCCACCTGAATGTTTCCCAGTCTTCTGTCTGGAAAGCAGTTCCGTCCAGGTTTGACTTAAAGGTGGAGAATCAGGAGCAGGAACATCAGATCCCCTGAAATTGCTCATCATCCACAGGGAACAGCATCTGGGTGACAGACTTAACATTTAACCCTCAGCTCCCCTTGTTCTGCACCCCAACCAGAGTGAGATACTCTGAATTCTGGTTAAATACTTTTTTAAACAAAATTTCTCATGCTACATTTATATCTATAAAGCATTTGATATCACTATAGTAATAATATCCAAACACACCCCATAAGGCCGCACCTCACACCCTCAGACAAAATTATGGGATGATGCCAAAGCAGCTTGTGCCTCCCGACCGTGCTAAAATGGCCGTCCGCGTCTCAGGTGACACCTACTTCTTAGCACAGATAAAATGAGCATCTATTCATAGATTAAAGAAGGTTGCCTCAAAAAGGACGCCAGCCTCTGTTACCTCCCCCCCCCGTTCCCAAAACCTAATTAAATCCGTTGGATTTGTCAGAAGCTCTTGGTGTTTGCAAAGTTCTAATCGGTTTTCCCTAATGGTGTAGGGAAGCCGTTATCTTTTGCAGTGAGGCAAAACTAACACCCTGTAATTACTTCGGGAGGCTGGCAGAGCCTCTCTGCCCTGCCAGCCAAGGAAACAGCTGCCAGGAAATTGATCAGGAAATGTAAATGCAAAGTGTTGTCAAAAGCGCTGGCAAATCCCTATTGTAATGACATCGGAAGAGTCTTTTCCTTCTGGATAATCGTGTGGCCTTCAAGAGCATGACTCCCCTCAATGGTGGCAGCTGTAGGAGCATCCTCTCCCCTCACAGGTGAGGAAACATGGTCCTTGTGGCTGCAGAGGCATTCAAAACATGATGGGGGGTGGGGTGGGGAGAGTTTTAAGTGATGAGCAAGTGGGTCCTGGATCAAATCAAGCCCGGATGACCTCTGGAGGCAAAATTGTTGAAACTGAGGCGGTCCTACCTTTGGGACAGCGTGAGAAGGCAGGATTCTCTGGAAAAGTCAATCGTGCTGGGAAAGGGGGAAGTCAGCAGGAGAAGAGGGAGACCCAATACGAGATGAATGGACTCCCTAAAGGAAGACACCGGCTCAAGCCTTCAAAAGCTGAGCAGGGTGGCTGAGGACTGGACGTTCCGGGGATGGCTCATTCATAGGTAAGTCGGAGGTGATTTGATGGCACGTAACAACCGCAACAGGTGTAGCACTGGGCCTAAGGTTCAGAGTGCTTTGTGGTTAAAATAAAGAACAATAACAAGCCCTCCCCAAGGTAGATGGTGACTAAAAGCCTAATAAATTCATGAACCTGCACAAGCCAGAACTCACGGCACCCACTGCAACAGCAATAAATCCAGAAAAACCAGGGAAGCGAGAACATGATGTCGTGGTGCGCCACGTTCCTATCTCCTCTCCCCTCCCGTCTGCATCCCATCCCTACGGACGATGCTCAGTTTCTAGAAAGGTGCTGCAGAGTGGCAAATGGCCATGGGTAACAAAGCCCAGTGTCCCCGGGGAATGCTTAAGGCCAAAAGATTTCTCTCTAAGGCCCAGCACGACCACACTCCATGAATCCTCGCCCCGCAATCCATCTGTTATGGATCTCTTAAAGACGCCCTGCTGTTTGGGATCTTTCCATGTCTCCATTAAAAAAACAAAACCTTGGGTTGCCATCTAGTGGAGAAGGGCTGTAAATGCAGGCTTCCAGGGTTCTCCATCGCATTCTATGTTCCGGGTCTCTCTGGTGGTCTGGAACGGAGAACGCCGGATCCAGACCCAAGCACCGTACAGCGGCGGTTCTGTTCATTTAGCATGCAAAAGGTCACCTCTGTGTCAACTTTTTAAACTTGGAGCAATTCACCACCAAAAAGTTAAGCTTCTCATCTTAGGCTAGCATAAAATGGGACACCCCTTGTGGTGTAATGGACAGCGTGACGGGCTGGGGACTCAGGAGACCTGGGCTGGCCACGAAAGACCCTATTTGGCCACGGAAACGGCCTGGAGGTGCAGAACTGGTAAAAACATCTCTCACTGACCTTGAAAACCCAATTAGGGTCATGTCCGATCCAACCCGATGACACACGACAGCTTAAAATGGCAATAAAGATAGAGTAATTTTTAATTTTTTTTTACAAATTACCTTGGGAAGAGTGACCTTGAAAATCGGATTAGAGTCACGTCCAATCCAACCCGATGACACACGACAGCTTAAAACTGCAATAATTTACAAATTACCTTGGGAAGACATAACTGTCCAATTACGCAGTCGGGTTTCACGCATTTGGGGAAATGGCTGGGGTCAGCACACCTCTGAGCAGTGCAGAAAAACTTCAGCCAAGGAAATTTTGCAGGCTTTTCATTTACAAGGTTGCCATAAACGGAGATGACCTCCATGCCCTGGGGAGGACTCAACGGCTGCACAAATTGCTCCATGACCTTTGTTCTGCCAGACGTTCACCCACCAGGAAGGGGCAATCCCCCCCCAAAGAGTCCCAAAACTAGTCATCCAATCCAGAGAACACGGAACCCCCCCCCCATGGCTCCAATTTCACACCGAGGACTCATTGTGTTCAAGAGCCCTTCTGAAAAGCAGCTGCCGTGAACAGGGGGACCACCGCTGGTGACCCTAGGAAGCACACCAGCAACGCGGGGGGGGGACCGTTTGGGAGAGGTTGGGGTGGTGGGTGACGGAGATTCCCGTTAACTGGCAATCCTCCGCAAGAGATTCTCCAAGGCTGCTCTTCTTCCCCAGACAGCCATCTGGGAGACGGGAATGGAAATGTTTGTTTCTCACAAGAGGAAGCCTTCTTCACAGGCAGCCCGGATCAACGAGAAAAACGGGCTGGTATTTTAACAGCAATCACCAGGATGCTGGGGGGCAAATCTATTTTCTGCAACCCACCACTCTTAAAAGAGTCATCATCAGACACTCTTATCTACTACACCACGCTGAGTACCATATTCTCAAGGGCTGTTCTGTTTTTTTTTCCCTCCAGGAAATCATTTCGGAGGCAAGTCCTCTCCCAAATTCTGAAGAAAACCTACCTTTTCCCTTCCTTTTACATTCCCTTTATGCTTACGGGAGAGGTGCTCACCTTTGACAAATGGGACCGTACTGAAACGCCTGCTTTCCTCCCCTTTCCTTAAAATTTGACAAAGAGGGTCCACCGAACGATCGCACACACTAAATATATGGCTTGCAGACCCTGGTTTTTTTGCTCTCCTGGCTGCCTCGAACAGAATAGTTTGCAGAGGGTTATTTAGAATCTCGACTTTTTAAGACGTCCTTGGCCTTTCGATATAGGCCTCCGCCTGGGTAACGGTAACCCGGTTTGTGCAGCAACGCGAGTTGGGCTAAAATGGAGCATCCTGGTTCAAGCAGGAATGAGCTGAACCCTATTTGCTGAACGGGGCCCCCGTGAAACGCAACCGTGGGCGCCTTTCAGGGCACAGCCGGCTCAGTAGTGAATTTCCAGAGGAAAATGCAAGAGCTGTAAGTTATTAGGGTCAGACTTTTCAGAGAGAGACGGAGACAAGAGGACTGCCACGGAGGAGCTAAGATACTCCCTGACAAATCTCTTCCGAAAAGAAGTGCCTCCTGGAGGTCTTCTTCTTACTCTTCTCTCTTGCCGCAGGATGCTGCCCGCTGAGCGGATGAGACCTGAAAGGTGCTCTGGATTCAGAGCTGTCAGAAGCACGAGGAGCGCTGTGCGGTGGGTGCACTCTGCTAAAAAGGGCAGACCCAGGCAGGGAGCCCAGCCGGGGCTCAGAAGCAGGGCGAGTCCGCCTCCTGTGTGGCAAAAGGACCTTTCGAGATCTGGATGTCGCCAGGAGAAGCCGGGCTTGTGGGCAACATCAAATGGACCCGTTTGGGTTGACGGGACAGAAAAGTGGCAAAGGATCCCTGGGGATGGGCCCCCATTTCCTGCTGCCTATTGACTTGGTTGGACAATACATTTATACCCGGACACTCCCTCCTGTGAATGGGAAGCTATGAACGTGGTGGTTGTCCTACTTATTTTTACCACCACATCAGCCCTGTGAGGTAGGCCAGACTGAAAGTGAGTGACTGGCCCAAGGTGCTTGAAAACTTAAAAAAAAAAAAAGATATTGGGAAGACTTTTATGGCTGCACGGGGACGACAGCCCGGGACCTCCACTCCAACACTCTAACTACGATGCTCTTCCCGGAGATTTACAGGTCTGATGGGAAGGCCGGTGGTCAACCTTTGTGGCCTGTGCAAGCCACAGGGAGTTCTCCGCTTGCCCTGTTTGCCGGTTGTTTTTTTACCTCCCTCCCAGCATTTCCCCATGTTTCTATGCAGCAGGTAAGGCTTACTATCCACAAAATGGAGGAGGGGATATGTGTGTGTGTATGTGTGTGTGTGAGAGAGGGGGGGGTTTAAACACATTCAGAAGCAGAAGCACAGAAGGCTGAAAGAAACCAAAGCTCAGCCGGTTGAGTCTATTTTAGACAGATAGGAAAGAAGAAATAATTAATGGCATTAACACATTCAGAGGCAGAAGCACAGAAGGCTGAAAGAAACCGAAGCTCAGCCGGTTGAGTCTATTTTAGATGGATAGGAAAGAAGAAATAATTAATGGCGAGGTGAAGCAAGTGAAATCAATGCTTCTTGGTTTCTTAGAGCTACTATTTCCCCGAGAAAACTGCTACCACAAGATGCGCAGAACGCTGCCAATTTCAAAAGCTTGTTTACACGGATGGAAGAGAGCTCGGAGCACCCGAGAGGAGCAGGGGAGCCTGAAAAGAAAGCAGAGCGCGACGCGAGAGGCAGCGAATGACAGATTGAATCAGAGAGGCAGGGCGTCAGCGTCTAGAGGAACGATGCCTTTAATTAGGCAAGGAAAGCAAGAGGAACACAGCCATTTAACACAAAAACGAGGAGGGTGAAAGAGACAACCGCCTACACCATGCGAACAGGAAAAGCCCAAAGCTGCAACAACAGGGGAAGAGGTCTGTGTTCTGATTCCAGGGGAGCGCAGGAACGCAGGGAGAAAAACCAAACCTGCATCATTCTGAAATGGTCGTCTTTGGTTTTTTAAGATGAATTCCAGAATGGGCCTTATAGAGAATATGTTAAATATGCCTTTACAGAATGTTTTAAATACTTATTAAATATCCTTAATGCTTTTAAAACACGGTTTCAAAGAGCACTGATTTGTCTACCATAAAGGAATAAAACAAACAGGTTTAGTAAAAACTGAATAAAGGGAAACGACGGCAGAAGTCACTGTGAGATTTGCAGGCACTCGATTCTATGTAGTAGGGACTCAAGGAAAGTTCTGATATATTGAATATTTTAAAAAATGATTTAAACATAGATGTTTGTGGTGGTTTCAAATTTTCTTCTTATATGAACAGTTGCCCTTTCCAGATTATAAAGGAGTTGCAACACATCCTTCTTAAGTCATGGGCAGGATTCAACCCTGTGCCAGGGTGGGAACCCCACAGGTTCACTTATTTCCAGTCTAGCTGAGAAAAGGCATGTGTTTTATACTTACAGATAAAAACCGTTTTCATGTTTCAGTCCCTTCTGAAACTACCCTAAGCATAATATTTGTACCTTGTGTCTTGATCTTGCCTTATCGACGTCTTGGTCTCTGCCCTTAAAATTAAGCCTGACAGCTATGCCTGTGAAATTATGGTTACGCTCTCCGCCGCGTATATATATTTTTTCCATGTGCTTTCAGAGGCATCTCTTTGTGGTTCTTCACAGGCACAAGCTAAGACATGGTCGTTTTTTTCCTTTCTTTGCTTTAGCTTGCAGCTTCTCTTTTCAGCTTCTCTAGAACTTCCTCTGGAATCAACGGTGCCAAAATCTTCACTAATTTTTCTCGAGATTTGCCACCCTGTTTCACATAGAAAAGCAAAGAGTTTTACAAGGTTCTGTAACATCAGGGTATTTTGAAAACAGATTATTACAGACAAGGGTCGCAGAGGGTGGACCGAGGTTTATGCCCCCCCCCCACCTGGGTGACCCTGAGCACCTCCCAGCCTAACAAGCTGGCCTCTTGTAGGGCTGCTGACTAGGAACCTTTTCCCTGACACCTTCAATTCCATGTGGGTTAAAATCTTCCCGATAGCTGGTGAAAACGGTAAAACAGAAGTCGGAAAGAAGGAAACTTTCAAGAGCCCACCAGGAAATGTACTGGGGGAGAAAGAAATGCACCATACCTTCTCCAAAACCACCTCGGTCTTCTTCACTTCAAGAACCTTCGAAAGGTAGCGACACAGCTCTGCGTTGGCTTCTCCTTCGGACGGAGGTGCAGCAATGGCTACCCCGACTGCAGCCGCACCCAGGTCTGCAAGACAGATTTTGCGTTTTTGCATCTCCCAAGATACACTAGATGTGTCCTTTTAAGCTCCCATCTTAAATAAACAAAAACACTCTCCAAACCCTCATTCAAGATGTCTATATATATAAAACCTGCAGCAAAGGTAGGCTGTTTGCGGCTACATCTCCCATCCTCCCTTGCCAGCAATAGTTCGATTACACTCTCAATCAATACGAAGTGACAGAGAAGACCTGCAGATTCAGGGTGAGGAGCTATCAACACACCTGCAACTATCAACCCGGTTTTTCTTATTTCTCCTAATACAGGTGATGTGTTTGGCACTGGATAATGAGATTAGCCTTGCAAATGAAAGACCAACATTACTACTCTGCCTATTTGTTTCCAAGCCAGCCAAGACCTTTTCTAGCTTGTATTTTCATGCACATCACAGTGGAACCCAATGCTACCAGCAAAGCGAATGCAGGCGGGCCAGAACATAAACACACACAAGTCTTCTTTCAAAGAACCCGATGGAAAAGGAACATGACAGGGGCTCTTTCCTTCCTGAACAGTGAAGAGGAAAATATATATATTCAGAGGTCTCATGCTTCTTCCCTTGACATTCCTCTCACTCACCTGCATGGAATTTCTGGATGCCTATGGAAATCTACGGGGTTGGTGCACAAAGTTGGACCAGATTTGTTTTTTGTTTTTAAAGGGTAGGGAGAGGCTAAGTGTATTTTAGCAGGGCTCAGCCTCTCCTGGGAACACACCCCTATTTTGAACAAAGACAAACTGCCCACGGTATGAAAGCTGAAGCACAAACGTGTTTCTTCTCGGCTAAAGACAGCTACCGTACCTGTGACCGCGTTTTGTTTTGATCCGGGCTTGGCGTGTACAGAGATCACAACCGAACCGTTTTTATCAGTAGCCACGGGACCCGAAGGAACAGGAGGCTTCGCTCGGTCCTCAACCTGTGCCTTTCCCTTAAGAGAGAATTGGGGGAGAAAACATATTGTTAATTTAGAAATGGACGCGGCTGCACCGAAGCGGATGACCAAGTCAATGGGTCGACGGCTCTTCCCCACCCACCCTCACCTGATCCTGGTGCCGCCAGCCCAAGCTGGAAAGAAGAGGCCGTGGCTGGCGAACTACGGCAAAATAAGCCCACTTAGAAGCCAAGAACTGGGGAGGCATTCGCTGTACGGATGTGTTTATCTGCCAGGACACACAGAGGGTCTCTCGGACCCAAGGCACCCCTCTTTGAGCGTCTCCTGCAAATATTTGCATCCTTATGGTTCTCAGCCTTAATAATGGGATTTTAAGGCTGGGCAACTCTTAAGAGCCATGAAGCGGGAAGGGGCCTGTGAGGCCCCGGAGTCCAACCCCTCTGCTCAGCAGCCTCTTTAGGCTCCTTGTATCCTATCTTTAAAGGTCGCCTTTCAAGGAGGGGAGTCGCCACACCTCGTTTTCAGTCTTCGACTAGGGTCTTACAAGGATGTGAGCCGCCTTGGGTCCTTTTCAAGGGCCCAAGGCGGGGCGAAAATATTTTAAACCAAACCAAAGGAACAGGACGTGCCACAGGGGAGAACTGTCTCCCGGTGCGTGCCGCCCTTTTTATTTTTCCTCCTCCCTCTGCGCCCTCTTTCCTCTTCTGCCACTCCTCGGTTGGCGTCCTTTATCCCCTTCGCGCGAGGTCCGTCCCTCCTTCCCCTCCCCTCAGGAGGGCCGCTTCCGCTTCCAGCCACTGACCTTCCGGGCAGAAGGCACCTTTCTACATCCCTGCGGATCTAAATGCCTACAGGAGCCAAATATATGCTCCAATCTTTTTCTTGTTTTCAATCCCCATCCCCATGAATGTGTTGCTAAACACAGATAAGTAGATCACTTCACTGGCAATGTATGAACGCAGTCCTTAAGGCGGGAGGCGAGGAGGGCCAATCCCAGCAGGGCCATTTCCGCCCTCTCCTGAGCCCACTTCCGGCGACCCGAGCGGGGAAAGGGCAGCGCCCATAGAGGCACGAAAAAGGATAGAGGCGGCTGCTCGCCTCTCCAGGCGGAGCGAGGCGAAGGGAGGGGGCGGGGTTTCGTCTTTTTGCGTGGGCTTCCCTCGGAAGTCGCCCCTGGGGAGGCCCCGTTCCCTCCCCTGCTCCTCCGTGGGTAGGTGGTGGTGGTGGGTTTCGGGAGGGAGGAATGTCATGTATTTGAATTGAATTTTAATTGTAAGCCGCCCAGAGACCTTTGGGTAGAGTGGCCGGCATGTAAGTTGAATAAATAAAATAAATTGGGATTTGTTGGGAGAGAATTATCTGTAATTTCTCCCCCTCCCTCCTAAAATCTCCCTCCAGTATCACCTTCCCCGCAGCAATTGGGAATTTATCTGTAATTTCTCCCCCTCCCTCCTAAAGTCTCCCTCCAGTATCACCTTCCCCGCCGCAATTGGGAATTTTACTCAAGGTGGCTTACAACATTGAAAGACCCTCTGCTTTTCTATAAAACTTACTCCTTGTTCTTGCCAGGAAGGGGGTTGTGCTGTTTGACATGGGAGAAAACTGTATTTTGTCTGGCCCGCTCAACACACGTTACGATGCTTTGGAGCTAAACCAGCATAAATGCATTTACTCGCCTGCTGTGCAGATCAGGCTAAATCCCAATTGTTAGCATCAACTAGATTAGGTTCCTTGAACGAAGGGGACTTTTAAAAGTAAACACGTATATCCCAATGATTCCACAGGTGTACCCTAGCTAAGAAAAACTATTATAGCCTGTTGACCTTGATTAACATCTCTCCATGTTTAATAGAGTACAGTACAGTTCTTTTAAGCATAAACTGTGTCCAGTCAAAATTTATGATTTACTTGTACTTTCCAAAACTAGATGAGACATCTTCAGTTCTTCACTTGGTATTTTAAGAATAAGTTCATACAACTTCTTCTGAGTAACACTGTTAACAGTACACAACAAAAAAGATTATCAGTATGTACACCATACTGAGTGCAATTACAGATGCAATTTGTGTCATTCTTAGTTCTGTTTTTTTCCCCATAATGCCTTTAGTTTTTAAGAACGCCAGTTCCATTTCACTGCACCGTACAAGAACAAAGCCATCTGCATCCTGCAAGAAGGGGATCTCGAGGGTGGGGAAAATACAAATACTCTGCTCACTCTCCGGTTATAGGTGGAACACTTAAAGTGGTGAAGTTATCTATTATATACAAGTAAGAAGCTTTTAGTTCAAGAACGATTTGGCCGCATACTGCTGCTGGAAGTAGTGAATACTTGTTTTTAGTACCTCCCATGTATATTACTTCAGTTTCACAACACATTTGTGATTATTTACAAAGTTTCACAGTATTTCACATCTCCTGTAAGTTCTTTCTTATCAAAAGGTCTTCCTCCACCTTGGTTACTCAAAGTTACGTATAAAATATTATTTCTGGTATCTGTCCATCTTCTATCGATGTGCCGTTGTTGTTGCCCGGGGAACTAAAAAAGAAAAAGCATGTTTTGCTTGATGTAGGAGATTCATGGATTACTTTCTTCAGTCCTTTGGTGCCATAATGAGAATCTGGACCCTAAAAGCAAATGAACAAAAGTTAGATTTTTTTCTCCCTTAACAAAACTCAGAATTTATTTATTTATTAAGATTTTTAGACTGCCCATCTAGCATCTTAGAATGTTCTACTGGCTACTGTAGTTTATGGTCAAGAATCAAAAGAGAAGTACATGCTGTGACACATAAGAGCAGCCCTGCTGGATCAGGCCAGGCGCCCAACTAGGTCCAGCTTCCTATATCTTACAGTGGCCCCATCAGATGCCTCTGGGAGCACCCGAGACCACGAGAGACCCTGTCTCCTTTTCGTTTTAGTTCAAGAACAATTTGGCTGCATGACACAAATGACATGTTTTTTTAAAAAATACAACTACATGGTCACATAGTCTACATGAAGTCCAGTGCTATTTAAAGGCTTCACAAATTTAAAACACCTCACCTTCAAGGTTGCACATGCTGTGTAGCACACGGTTGGCAGGATCTCTATTGGTTCTTTGAACATAACTCTGAAAGTATTTGCAGTTCCATCGCAGCTAAATCCAGTGTCATTCTGTCCTAGCGTCTGGTTTTTCTCATATTCAATTATCTGTCGTAAGGTAAAAAGCCCAGCAAGAAACCTGTGATTTTTCATTATGAACTATTTTTTTTAAAGCACCTTACTAAGAAGTCCATACACTGACTTTTACCACTGGAACTAGTTCAACTTTTCCAGCTCCTGATCAAACTCAAGGTTTAGGGCTAAGCAGAGCTCCACAATCCATCATGTTGAGATCTGAGATTGATTTGGCACCTGTGATCATTATCTTATTTCCACTGTCATAGTTTTTCACCAACATGAAAATATCTATATTGACTTTATGTATGTAGCTGGACTTACTCAAAATACTCAAATGACGTTGTTCTCTTGCCTGCAACATCAGGTAACAATAACAGGCATCCCTCTTTTCTTTAAAGTGCTGTCTCAGAGCAGCTTCATGAGATGCCTCTAATCTCCTTACAGCACTGGGCCAAGATTTATTCCTTAACTCCAGATATGCTTTCCATGGATTTGTGTTCCTCTTAGTCTAGCCAGAACATGTCTGTTATTTTGGCTGCAGCTGTAGATGGGTGAACATTTGTTATGTTTCAGTTTTTGCATGCCACTTTGTATATGTTGAAGTGGACTAAAACAGTTTGTTTTAAAAATAAATATAGACTTTAATACAAAACTCACTGCTTTGAGAAAAAGTATAGATATCTGATTGGTTGATTTGGCAGATTTGCAATGCAGAAAGATGTACTGATAAAAACCAGATGCTTTGTAACCTACAATTATGAGCAAACATAAACAACTTTAAATAGGTACACAAAGGGCTTTGAGTGAATAGTTAAAAAAACTATTATGCTGAAATAGTGGCAAATAGTTTTAAACCGTTTCTGCCCAAATACTACATAAAAAGTCAGACTAGCATCTTTTAATTATTATGAAAAAATGCTTTTCTAATTAACGTGTCTGTTAATTCTCCAAACCGAATATTCACATTTTGGTTTTGGAAAGCAGGAGAAATTTCAAAGGAAAGTTTTTCTCTAAACATCTTTTTTTTTTTTTTGCTAATAAAAGATTCTAGGTTTTATATGCAAGTACGTTAAAGTACTTGTAAAGCAACTGGAGTAGATGACTCATTAGAAAAACAAAAAACTGTGGTACCTGTATATTCACTTGGTAATCAGTGGGACCATGAATAGATCCGTATAATCCAAATCCCACAATTGAAATCCTTCTATTGACTGTGAATCTTGAAACAGAGAAAAAGAAGGTAATCATTGCATTTGGAAACCAACAAATCTTCATTCTCCATAAGCTGAAAAGGATTTCTAGGCCAAACAAATTACTGTGAAATGGAACAGAATTATTACCAAATGGAAAATTTTCTCTTTAACTTGCTTCACAATACAATATTTCAAGAGAAGGAATGACCTCCAACTCCTTTCTCTGATCACAATCTATTTCTAAAGCTAAAGGAATTTTCGAAACAAGTATGTGATATAGTAGTAGAGTTGTCCCACTTGATTGCTTTGGTTCAGCTGGTTAGTTTCATGCTCTCACTATATTAAGTTTTCTTGATCCAGAAGCTTGATAGTGTATGTCATACCACTTGAGTTGTACTGTGTGCTTAAGGCCCTAGAATCTATCAGGCTGAAAGAGCTATTTGCAATTTCTTAAAACTGTTGAGGTCGGTTACGGCAATGTTTCTCCAAATTGTGATGGGCAGATTGGAGACAGAGCTATGACACCACCACTCCACAAAGGGGCATTCCCCCCACCCCCCAAAATGGGGGAACCAATACCTGATCCGGTCACTTGTTCCACTGTAACCCCAGCGGCTCTCCACTTGCTGGAACCGATTGATGCAGCACTCCTTCCCTCTAAGACAGCATCTTGGCCGGTCAATATAGTCAACTCTAGGCTTAGGGTTGACTGTAAAATGCAGAAAGAGGTTTACTACTTCCCGATCTGACAAAATTCCAGACTGAGCAGGACCTGAGGGGAGGGAAAAAGGCAATGCAAATGAGCTGAACGTATTCTGCACAGAGTGGCCAACTGAGAAACTTGCTTGAGGCAGCTTTTCTGACAGGCCTACTTACACACATTTACCCCATGGCTAGGCTGCAGATGTTCAAGTTGGAATCTGGATTAATCAATCTGGGCCGTAAAAGGGGAAAAAACCCTACAACCTTAAAGAGAAAACTGACAAGAAATGAAATATCAGTGGCATTAAGCGGATATGAATCTAGAGACTCCCTAGAAATGTATTTGGATCATGGTGGTTATCTGTTAAAAGAAGCTACAATGCTCTTTAAAACAATAAGGAATACACCATTTAACTTCATTGCCCACCTCAGCTAGCCAAACCAGGTTGGGTTAGCCACAGGTTTGCTAAACTTCACACAGAACAAGGAGATTATATTTGGGAATTATGTACTCGTTCTTGACAACTGAGATTTTATCATTCACGAGCCATTGCGTTCCACAGTAAATCATCTATAACTGAAATACATGCTGCCAAATCTGCCAGCGGCAAAAGGATTAATCAGGATGAAAATTATATTATCCTGGTTTAACTGGTTTGCATAGTGCAGTTGCATGAATAGAAAATACCATTTTAACAGCATATGATGGGTTATTTACACAGCTTTTAAGCAGAAGTTAGAATGCAACATTATAAATGCCAAAATGAAAAGTTAAATGCACCTACAATGATGTACACATTTCTGCAGAGGATTCCAGTTTCACATACATCCCATCTCTCTCTATACACTGGGTTGTGTCCATAGTAACCCTATACATGTCTAAATTAAGTCAGACACCAACCAGATGTATCCTTAGGAAAATGAGTAGAAGCAGCTGAACCACGTTGAACAACTAACCGACAGCCAATGGCTTATGTTTTCTGCATTTTGACAGGAACTCTATGGCCCATTCGGGGAATGAGCCACACTTCCTCTGACCAGGAAATAAGAGGAATGAGCCTCTTATATTTGAAAGCAGACACGTAACGACCGAGGCATACGTTTTTTCTTCAATGACACACGATAAATGTCACTTTGACTGTGGAAAACTCTTTTGTTATTGGCAGCTGAAACGCTGCCTGCAGAATGTATGCGGGCTACGACAGTCTTCCCTAGGGGCCTGCCCTTCTAGACCATAAACAGGGATTGTGGTGCAGGAAAACTAGAGGGCACACAGTGGGAGAAAGCTGCACTGGGGTGAATGAGAACAGTTTCTGGACACAGCTAGTTCAGGGTTGTTTTATTTCACAAAGAAAGAAACCACAGGCAGGATCTGATGCACGTATTGCCAGGATGGAGGGCCTACAGGAATCAAGGAAGCTTTTTTCTAACTTGAATATGCTTGTTACAGATCAAGCTGAAAGATGATCGTATACATTTTAAGTGGGAAACCAAATAGGGTGAAGGGTCATTTGTCCTTGGATGGGAGACCACTAGGGAATACCAAGAATCTCCTGGGGAGTCTGACTCCGCAGAAGGCACCTTTCTACATCCCTGCGGATCTAAATGCCTACAGGAGCCAAATATATGCTCCAATCTTTTTCTTGTTTTCAATCCCCATCCCCATGAATGTGTTGCTAAACACAGATAAGTAGATCACTTCACTGGCAATGTATGAACGCAGTCCTTAAGGCACACTTTGGCCATTCTATCTCTAAAGACATTTGTGATGGTTCTCTTTTGGCTACAAGATGGCAAGTTGTCTCCCAAGGGTTACCTGCTGCAAACTCCTCAATTGTCATCAGCGGAAAGCGGATTAAGGACAGAGCTTTGCCAAGTACTTTCTGCTTATTTACAGAGGTGACTGGTAACTGCTGCCTCTGACATTCGGCTTCGGCCCAGCGAACAACAGCTCCAAACAGCCGGCTCTCCCGAATACTTAGAGTATCTCTTTCCAACACAGCACATAGCGTGTCTGGAAAAAAACACAACACAAGGTCACGTAGAGACTTTAGGGATTTTTTTTAAAAAAAAAACCTGCATGGATCTCCCACTTTTAGCAAGGACGACAGATTATTGGTGAACTTGCTTTGACTTGCCTTTCCTTCCATTACAGGTAGTGTTTGCCATATCTTCTAACTAGAAAACAAAACTTTTTAAATGACTGTTTTTGTTACTTTACAACAGCAGTTCTAAGCATCAAGTGAATGTTGTATTCTCTGAGTTTGAAACTGATGCACCAGTCCTACAGTCGTCAAAGGAAGCAATTCCCACAGAATTTACATACTTGGTGTGTTTATGTGCCACCTCTCCTCCAATGAGCTTAAGGAGCTATACATGCCTCTCTTCCCACCTATTTTATCCTGTGAGGTTAAGTAAGGCTCAGAAAGTATCTCTGGCCCGCTGTCACCTCACATACTTCATGAGAAAAATGAAAAATTGAACCCGTGACTCCGAAGCCAGGGTCCAACACTGCAACCACTAAACCTAAAAATAGTAGAACATGCATTAGATTGCCCTGCATAACTTTTTCATAGCTAATCTTTCTAAAAGACGAAAATCAAGCTAACATGCTAACTCAGCACACCTCTGACTCAACAGATTTGTGTCTGGAAAACCTGGACATCTTTGAATTGCCACACGAAAGGCTTAACCAGATATTTAAATTGCCAGTCTGATCCCGGGATTAACACCTGGAGGGCCACACGTTCCCCACCCCAGTCTAGTTCCTCAAAGGTAACATGAAGGCTAGATGGCTACTTACCTATATCAATATCGGTGAAGCCTTCTGCACTGATGGCATCCATCGTACTTTTGTCTATTGTGTCTAGACAAAGACTAGCTAGTTGTGGTTCATCAAACAAACGAGCCTATCAAGAGAGACGTGATTAGATTTAACCTGCAGATTCAGTACTGCAGGACAGGACGGACAGGTAACAGAAATGCTTTCCTAGAGAAACAAAAAAGTATTTTTTACTGAAATAAAATGTAGTGGTATTTTCTTTTTTGACATTACGATTTTATACATATTTATATGTAAAACTGCATGTGTCTCTGCCAGCCCCTCCTGTCGCTCCCTAGGATCACAACTAATAAAGATGATTACTTGGTAAATGGTTACTTTGAATGGCCGAAATTGTGGCTAGATGTTGTTGCTGTTGAGAACACAGCCTCAGTGAAGACAAGGGAAGAGAATCCCCTTTCAAGAAAGAACACACAATTCTACAGCTCGCTTCTTCTCTTTCAATACAATTATTAAGAATACCATATGCACAATTTCTGGAAGGTACACAGAGGACAGCACCCTGTTGCCTAATACTGCCCGCACAATGGGACCAATATCATCACCAGTGGCAACCTGCTGCTGTTTAAAGAGTTGTGTGTGTGTGTGTTTTTAATTCCAGGGCCTGCACAATATCATCTGATTGCAGATTGAGTTGTATGCAACCTGAAATCAAAAAGGGAATACTTTTATCGGCTGCAATCTGATGCTCATGTCATTCCCACTGTGCAGGCAGAGCTAGGCCAACAGGATAATGACCATGGGGTTGCAAGTAAATGTGTTAAGCATCAGTGAATAGGTCTGCTTAGTGATCCAAATGCGACAGAGGTTGCTCTTTAAACTTTGGAAAGTTTATCAACTGACAGCAAGGATTTTTACTCGCAACATTGCTAAAGACGTTATCTGAAAAAAAGAAGACAATTTAACAACATTCCCAATTATGGCAATAAAATGAGCAGGTCAACAACTGTGGACTGGGTCATGTTTTACTTTCCAGGGTGCCCTCGACACTGAACAAACAGGCCGAGTCAGTAGAAGCCCAAGGAAGCAGTTCTAATTTGGACATCTTGCTTAAACTTGTCACATCATGTGAACTGCAGGATCTGGACTGATCAACAGAGAAAGTAAACAGAACAAGATTTACGAAACTGTACACCAAAGAATAAGTGCCTCACCTAAAAAGACAGTATCACGTGCTTAAGTCCAAAGCTCACTTCTTTAACCCTCCCACCCATGATTTGAATTCAGTCACTTCTGCTAAGCTGCAAGCTTGTTTGGGGGGGGGGGAAGGATAGTGTCCCCTTCCCAAAATCACAATCGAGGTTCAACAAACATATGCTGTAAATTATCGTATTACAGTATATGCGTCATAACAAACTTCCCCATATAGTTAAACAGTCTGCACACAGTTATGACAGCAAGACAATAAAAACATCAAACATAATGTAGCATAAAGCAATGCCAAACACCTATGTGAGCACAGACAGCAAAGCAGGGGGGGGGTGGAGGCTGTATTCAAAAGTGTCCCCAAAGAGAAGTGTTTTCAGCAGCTTCTTGAATGGAGGGAGGGGGCCAGACGTAGCTCCTCCAGGAAACAGTTCCAGAGTGATCACGCCACCACCAAGAAGGCCCTGCATCTCACAGAAGACTTTCTGGCCTCCTTCGGCGTAGCCACCTGGAGGACCAAAGTCCAAGAGGATCTAATGGTATAGGGAAATGACTTTGGGGGGGGGGGGAGAGACTCTCCACCAGGGAACCTGGTCCCAAACTGTGAGAGGATGGATATTTTTAGTATTGCAGACTACTGAATACATATATTTAGGCATGGCAATTAACTGTGTTCAGCAGCTGACAGACAGCAATGTTAATTAGTGCTATCATACATCAGCACTAGCAAGACAGTTACCTGAGTGAGCAACATAAAAGCATTATCTGCCCGAAGGTGCTTTGTGAGAAATTCCACACAGTGAGCTTCCAGAGCTGGGACAGCGTATTTCTTGGCTGTGTACAGGGTAGTCATCACTGTTTCGGGGCCTATCTGAACTGGGTCTGAATATAAAAACCTAGAAAACAAGGAGGCAAAATTAAGAAGACTAAGCAATGCACTCATTTATGCTGCTCCCTTTAGGAACAGCTTTGGGTGGCTTGGCCCCCACTCCCAGGGAGCCAAGATGCCTAAGTGCCCTTTGGAAGGCAGCTGCCCTTCGTGAAAACTTCTATAGGAAGCCCCTGCCCAACTCAAACTTTCTTCTCATTCCTAACAGCAGCCAAAACAGCATGCAAATTATGCTTTCTCCCTGTAAATCATTCCTACAAAACTAGCTTGCAAATAAAACCAGGTATGCTTCCGAGCTGCAAGTTTCAAAATCTTCATACCTTCTGTTTTGGAAAACTGCTGTTTGTTCTTGCAACATATCTAAGCCAAGCTGATACCAGATATTAGCAGGCAAGCCAAGCTTCCATATCTGTAAAAATCAACAGCTTGCCAAACATGAAGGGTCAAGCACCATCTTCAGGTGCAAAACAGAAACAAGAAATGTTACATTCCTAGACAACTAGTTCAGAACACTCCTATTAGTCCAGATATGAATTGAAGTATTTCAGTTTTGACAATATCAGAAAGCTGCTCTGGAAAGGGGTGTGTGTGTCAAACTCCCTGGGGCACAGGACAAATAATGGCAATGAAACAGTGGCCCTTCTGATGTTGGGCAGACTGTACAATGCATACTCTCTCGCCCTGGACTATGCGAGTTATGGACAGCAGAAGACAGGATCAAACCCCTAGCAAACTAGGGCCGTTCATGCTGGCCTTCCTCACAGGATTGTTGTGACGGAGGAAAAGGAAAAAGAAGAAGAGCGAGTGGGGAGAAGCGAGGTATACAAAAAAAGAACAACTCATAACTAAACATGTAAAATTTACATTTTTTTTCCATTTTCCCCAGGAAAAAAACAAGGAAGTGTAGTTTTTAGTACGACTTGGGTTTTCTATTTCTCAGTGGGTTTTTTTTTGCATGCTTATTGATGATCTTTGCCTTCATCTTGTTAGCGGACAACTCAACATCTGGCTTGTTAACGTTGGAAGAAGAGGATGATGCCCGCGCGGTTCACTGCTTCTAGCTTTAAATACCGTCCTTTTCACATCGCTCAGCCCCCCTCTCCGTCCTCAGGGCTTCCCACTTTTAAACCTCGCCTCTCCTTGACTTGTCAGCCGCCTTGAGTCCTTTTCAAGGAGAAAGGCGCGGTAAAACCCCGCTTAAATCCATAAAAACATACGTGTGTGTGTGTGTGTTCCCCCCTCCCACCGGGAACCAACGGACA